CGGTCCCGCGAAGAGGTGCCCTCCTCGGCCTCTGCCCCAGGAGCCTGCGCAGCCTCCACACAGCCCCCCGCCCCCCCCCCATATAGGATCCCGGCTGATGGTTAGGGTCACTCGTAGGCGGCCCTCCATTGCCGAGCTGTTGGGGACGGGCCACGCCACCCCAGCAGTGCCAAGTTACGGTCTCTGATCCCCCAAATTGAAACAGAAATAACAAAGACAATTGGAACACTCCCCTCTCCCCCCAAAAAGATGCCGAGTTTTACACAACACACTGGTCCGTGAGCCACGTGCCAGAGAAGGGGCGTGGTTAACAGGTGCCAGGGAAGGGGCGTGGTTAACACGTGCCAGGGAAGGGGCGTGGTTAAGTATAACCGGTTTTGAGCTGGACAATGAAGGCCCTGAGGAGGCGTGGGGTGCGGCCAACGCCGGGCCGAGCGGACTTTACGGTTCTCGGTTCTCGATGCTTATTTAGGACGTCAGTTCCCACCGTCAGAGGCCGGGACACATGGAGGAAGCTAAGCCCAGCGCAGGCAGAAATGACGAAACAGTGAAGACGAGAGCAGGACGCCCTGGAACGGAAACTGTACAAACGGGAGAGAAAGCCGGCGAAAGCTGTCCTTTGAATAAACGTAATAAAATGCAGCTGGACTGGTGACAACTAAGCGAGAGGCCCATCCCTACCGAACCCTTCCAACTGGGAAACGATAGCGAGCCTCTGCCCTCAGCAGCCTCACCCACATGCGATCGCCCAGTGAAACGGCAGGTTTAGGCGGATCCCTGAATACGAAGGCGAATGGGAAAGCTAGTGCCACCGGGCAGAGGGCCGAGGGCAGAGGAGGACGCTCGCTGACCAGGCGGAGGGAGGACTGACGACTGACTGGACAGACTGAAGGGCGTGAGAGCGGGTCATGGGGACTCCCAGGCCCGGAGTGGGGCTGTGACCAGAGCGCACCCCGGCCGCTCCTTTCCCTGCCTCCCCCCTGCACCCCGAGCCCGAGGAGGGCTTGACCCTGAGAATGTGGCCAATAAGCAGAATTATTCCAACATCAGTGAATTTCAGCAAAAAATACAAAACAAAAAACAACCTGCAGCGTGAATTCATTACACTTAATTATTAAATCAATGATCATACCAATTTTTTAGTGGAAACTGGTATTTGACTCATCCATTAGTTGTTTTTATTTTTTTTTTAAATATATTTTATTGATTTTTTACAGAGAGGAAGGGAGAGAGATAGAGAGTTAGATACATCGGTGAGAGAGAGACATCGATCAGCTGCCTCCTGCACACCTCCTACTGGGGATGTGCCCGCAACCCAGGTACATGCCCCTGACCGGAATCGAACCCGGGACCCTTCAGTCCGCAGGCCGACGCTCTATCCACTGAGCCAAACCGGTTTCGGCCATTAGTTGTTTTTAAATCTGCTATTATGTGTTTTGTCTAGGGGCCTTTATTTTATTTTATTTATTTTATTTTTTGTTAGTGAGAGAAACACATCTATTGGTTGCCTCCTGCATGCGCCCCGACCAGGGCCCTGGGCCAGGGAGGAGCCTGCAACCCAGGCATGTGCCCTTGACGGGAATGGAACCCGGGACCCTTCAGTCCACAGGCTGGTGCTCTATCCACTGAGCCACACTGGTGAGGGCACCCATTGGCTCTTTTGAGTGAGGGCATTATCAACATGGGGTATTTATTATGCATCAGATAAACAGTGGGCCGTGTATTTAATGTTCATCTTAACCTTGGGCCAAAATGGGGAGGCCTCAACCCGGAGACCAGAGTCAGGGGTGTGGGCAGTGGCACACAAAGCCCTTTGCTGAGACAATCAGATGGGAACCTTCAGCTTCAACCTCCACCAGCCTCCTTGTAACTTAGGAGACCAGACGCTCACGGCCCCCACCCACCACCCACACTGCAGACCAGACCAGCCCCAGCGCCGGCCGCCCTCTGGGTGTCACAGTCCTGAGTGTGGGCCCACCCCTCCCCTGCTCCTCAGGGTCAAAGTCTGAGCGGATATCACCGCTGTTTCCCTCTGAGTCACAGTTGGAGCCACTGCCCTTCTTGTCTGGGGCACAGCCTCCCCCACCCGCCGGGTGGCCCTGGCATGCTCCCTCGGCCCAAAGCTATCGCTGCCCTGCCTGCTACCCGAATGCACGATGGACTCAGGTGCCCAGGCCACTTGGGCACCTGCCAGGGCCCTTCCCAGGAGGGCTCCTTGGGGCTGTGTGTGTGGTGGTCTCTGATATCATGCCCGCAGACTCAGAAATGAGGATGCCTGTTCCCAGCCAGTGTGGCTCAGGGGTTGAGCATCGGCTCAGGAACCAGAAGATCATGGTTCAATTCCCGGTCAGGGCACATGCCTGGGTTTTGGGCTTAATCCCCAGTTGGGGCATGCAGGAGGCAGCCGGTCAATGATTCTCTCTCATCACTGATGTTTCTCTCTCTCTCTCCCTCTCTGAAATTAAGAAAATATACGTACACATTTTTTAAAAAGAAAAGAGATGAGGTGCCTGAGGAGGCTGGGAGGACTTAAAGCTCTGCCCATTGAGTCCTCCACCTAGCAACAAAATTAAAAGGCCAAGTTTGACCCAGACACTCCGTGACAGTTATGTGCCGCACAGGAGCCCGGGGAGAGGCAGGGGCAGCGTTGCCTGGGAGGCACCAAGTCAGACTGCGAAGGACTAGACGGGCCATGGGAATAGGCCTCCACTTTCTGCACTGTTTCTAAATCTGTCCAATGGGTACAGTGGCACCAGGCAGGCCTTGAGGGTGGTGAGATATAGGGAGGCGCAGGCAGCTGCCCCTGGGGGCAGAGATCCTGGTATGTAAATGCCAGGCCCTGGAGAGCCGCTAGAGCAAGCATGTTAAACCCCGGCCGGCATGCGGCCCACCACAGCGAGTTTGGCAGGCTTGGGCTGAGGAACCATCCGAAATGGCCTCAGTAAAGCCCCCCTTGCAGCTTCAAGGTTTTCTGTTTTTCCCTGATTCTAGTTGGTCTTTTGTCAATTTTCTACAAGTCAGGCACCAATATCATATTAAAAGTCCGTATCATTTAAGCCCATCGTTCAGATGCTGTTTTAGGCTATGGGCCATGTTTCTTTTTTTTAAAAAGAAATATTTTATTGATTTTTTTACAGAGAGGAAGGGAGAGGGATAGAGAGTTAGAAACATAGATGAGAGAGAAACATTGATCAGCTGCCTCCTGCACACCCTCTACTGGGGATGTGCCCGCAACCAAGGCACATGCCCTTGACCAGAATCGATCCTGGGACCCTTGAGTCTGAAGACCTACGCTCTATCCACTGAGCCAAACCGATTAGGGCTGAGCAATGTTTCTTTTATAATATTTTAAAAAATATCTATTTTTATTGATTTCAGAGAGGAAGGGAGAGGGAGAGAGAGAGAAACAGTGATGAGAGAGAACCACTGATCGGCCGCCTCCTACACCCCCCCCCACTGGAGATTGAGCCGGCAACCCGGGCTTGTGCCCTCACAGGGACTCGACCGTGACCTCCTGGTTCATAGGTCCATGCTCAACCGCTGCGCCATGCCAGCCGGGCGTCTCTTTAATATTTTAATGTTAAAATAAACAAAGATCCTGCATTGTCTTGGTTTATGCCATTTTGTCTTTATTTATAAAACATTTTTTACAAGAAGGAAAATACTTCAGTTGCGCTCGTAATTTTAAGAGGCGCTGCCACGCGTGTCGCGCAGGTGTAGCCATGGGTGTGAACTGTCACGGCTCTGAAATCGACCTGCGGGCCTCGGGAGGGATCCTCGGGCTGCGGCTCTGTCTGTCTGATTCGGAAGCCACTCCAGTCGCCTGGGTGTGACCTGTGCGGGGCACACACGGTGTCAGGCATCAACTCTGAGTGAGGGAATTGGGGGGCTGGAGGGGGGAGGGAAGTAGGGCTGTTGCCCCGGCAACGGGGTGATAGTGGGGGAGGGCGGCTAAGTTCTGTCTCCACGGAGACTGTCGGGGCTGAACACCAACAATACTCGAGGTGGGCGCACCCCACGGATGGCCACGGTCCCAAAAGAGCCCACGAGTAAAGGTTGGCCACGGGGCCCCGACTCCCGAGTCACCACGCGCCCCTGATTCTGCCTCCCCAACCCTGAGACGCGCCCCACCCGCCAGAGTTTTCGGGCTGCG